CTGACCTACAAAACTTGTACGCAGATTAAGACTTCGATAATTTTTTTTCACAATCAAACCACTGACAGAAATAATTTCGATTCACAGTTTAAAGAAAAGTCCTTCTGGTTACCCCCAGCTAACAGGGAATCACAACTAGAGAGTTTTATTACTGCAGTTGAAAATTAAGTAATTCAAGCCAATAACTCCGACTCAAAAGTAGGAAACAATCTCCCCTATAGTGAACATACTGCTATAATTTCACTGAAGGGAGAGATTATTATTAAACCAGCTCATAAGGGCGGCGCCATTGTCATTCAAGATGAGTCCGATTTCATAAACGAATCTTATTGACAACTTAAAAAATAGATTTGGACCCCACACTACTATTTGTTAACATTATCAAAGATATGCTATATAATTTACAGAAAAGCCAACACATCAGTTGTGAAACGTTACAGTTCTTTTCACCTAAACACCCAGTTTCAGGTCGCTTTTACATGTTACCAAAAATACACAAACCCAACAATCCTGGTCGCCCTATTATTTCTAATTGCGGTTTGCCAACTGAAAACTTATCTGCTTACATTCATCATCACACCAAAGATATCCCCCCACGTTTGACATCAAAGACACGACACATTTCTGAACATGATCTCTGATATTAACAGCAACGGAAAACTTTCGCCAAACACTATTCTTTGTACTGTGGGTGTTTCTTCTCTCTACACAAACATTTTCCACGACGGTCTAAAATCCCTAGAATCTACTCTGCAAAAACTAGACAAACCCAACACTCAAATTATTACAGACTTAGCTGAACTAGTGTTTACACTGAATGGTTTTGAACTTAATAATGAGTTCTATATCCAAACAAAAAACACAACTATGGGCACCAAACTATGCCAACATTTTCTGGGAGACTTAAAGACAAGTTTGTTAAAAAGTTGCACGGACAAACCAACGCTTTGGAGGCGCTACATTGATGACATTTTTTTCATTTGGGCAGGAGACGAAGATTCATTACTCTCCTTTTATAGACATGCTAACACCTTCCACGGTTTTATACAATTTACTCTAGATTACTCCACTATTCAAGTAGGTTTTTAAGATGTAAACCTAACATTAAAAGATGGTGTTCTACATACTTACATAATCAAAGCTGTCACCAAACAGAATATCATATTCAATCAAGCACTTAGATTAAAGAAGATATGCTCTGACAGTAAAAACTGAGACTGTCACATCAATTCTTTGAAACAGACTATGACTGAAAGAGACTATAAACAAAACACTATCACCCAACTACTTGACAAAACTAACAATATACCACATGAATCTGCCTTGACACAATTACCTAAAACCAATTCTTCTCGTGTTCCACTGGTTATTACCTATCACCCAAAACTAAAAATACTATCCCGGATACTAAAAAAAAAAACATTTTTATCTCCTTCAACTTAATGATCGACTAAAATCCATTTCTACAGAAGTTCCTGTCATTTCTTTCAGAAAAATAACACTGCATTCACGCTTAGTTCACGTTAAAGTCAACTTTAAGTCGACACCAGGTGGAAGTCATCCTTGCAACAGCAAGCGATACCAAACCTGTAAGTTCATGCAGGAAACGGACAAATTTTTCGATAAAGACAACCAAAAGCAGTTCAAAATCACTAAATTCATAACATGCTCTACTTATTCGAATGCCGAAAATGCGACTTTCGATATTTTCAGAATTTAAAAATATGTATTCTTCTTTTTGCCAATTGTCAAAATCAAAAGGCTTTTAGTTATATTTCTTAATAGTATAAATATATACTACGTTGTTGTTGGGCTTAGGATTCTTCTACAGTAGGTGTCTGTGACGTGTTAGCGATAAATTCAATGATAAATAAACAGCGTGCACTTCACTTGTTTTCAAAATAATATATATATATTCGGAACAAGTTAAACGTATGTACAGCAAGTTTTTCACACTATAGAGATTATAAGCATATCATAAATACTACATACGTATTTCCCTCCTTCTTGTCAAAGTCCACTTAGGCCCATTCAATTACTTTAGAATTTCAGTTGACAGGCCGAACTATCTTCTCTATTACTATCGCGCTAGTATTCTGTGTGTGATTCACTTACAAATTGTGGCGCGAGTTATCATAATCGTTTGGTCTTCTTCTTCGAAAAATCCTCTGTTCTTTTTGTCAAAGTGCACTCAGGCTGATTCAATTACTTTAGATCCTCGCTTTGACGGCATAAATTATGTTTTCTATCTCCGTTTCTACTGTTAGTCTTATTCTAACATATTAAACGTTAGGCCTATGTCAGTCGTTATACCTATCACTTCTACGGTAGTTAACTTCACGCCGAACTTTTTCTTGCCCGTGACTTTAATTTTTTCTGCTATTATCTGTCTGCTGTTTCCGCTCGTCTCACACTTGAAACGTCTGTCCACCTTCTAGTATTTTGTACGCGACGTTCGATAGTCTCATCATCCATGCCCTATAAACACAACTTCCAACAGTCTTCTGCTCTTAACTCTTAATATAACAAAAACTAAACAGTAATAAAATATTCACTCACAAAATAAATTAATCAATGATATCTAAA